TCTCAGTTAGAGGTTTCACTGAAGAATCTATTAAAGACTTGTTAGTTGGCCAGTTCATCATTATGATATCAATCTCTTTCCTCGATCAATTTCTTAACAAAGAAAAGCACTTTGTGATATTTAACAGATCGATGGTGTCTTACAAACAATTTTCTAGACAACTTGATTATGCCTGCAATGTATCTCCATATAAAATCAATTTCTTTCAGGTATTTAGTAAGTTCCAAGTAAGGCAGATGTTTTTTAATCTGCTCAGTCTTACTGCAAACCCATCTTTTGACTTTTTTTTCGGATGATATTGGCTGGCTTTTAAAGTTTTTCCACCTGTTACGATAATAATATTATTATAATTACAACTTTATCAATGTGTTAAGGCCTCTAGCATGCCGAAACAAGGCTTTAACCTATCGGGGACATGAAAATGAAGACGTGTGTTTCTGATGTCTTCAAAGCGTCAATATAGTCGCTTTGAAGACTGAAGGTCATTGAAGTACAACCACGATTTATTGTACGCTAATACCATGACGGGCTTAAGGAGAATTATAGTATTGGGTTTAACTCAACGACTCGTTCTAAGTACTCACTGAAGTACTGAATGATTCAGGATTTAAAAAGTGCTTAATAGATATGATTTAATACATAAGACTGAGCCAAAACGGCAACAAACTGTGAAAATGTTGACATAAACACGATCACATTGTGGTTAACTTAAAAACGAATTTTTAAAATTTGACGTGGCCGTATTCGGGAGGCATTTTATCACTTTTTACTGTGTTGAAAGATAATTAGAAGGCGCTGATTGCCGAAGCACGCCACCGCGGTCATGATTTGATATCAATGGCAGAGAATGCCAGAAAACAGCAGTGAACTTGCTAAAATGCTAGCATCTGAAATCTAGTGCCCTCTATTTTATAGCTGTGGGTCAAATGTTTTGAATATACCTGCTTTTATTCCCAGCACTTTCGCGCTATTAATGTTAGGCCTGGTATTCTTAAGGTTTACGGGCTATTGATACTTTGCCGAGCTTCAGGTGACGTCATCACATCGTCACATGACACAAGACCTTTGAACGCGGTGGCTTTGGTTGTTTACCATTTACGTAAAAATATCGGAAATTTCGTCAGAATGTCAATGGTAAGACAATTTTGGCTCGCCGGACCAGAAAACCTTCGAAGTAAATGGAGCGTCTTAGACTGCGGGTAGTCTCTGGTTCGGGTTCTCGAAAAACTTCCACCTTCACCTGTCCCCTGGCGCCAAGTTGGCGCATAGGATCTCCTCGAAAAACTTTAGCAGAATGTTTTTCATTTGTAATTTACTTCTCAGTGAAGGATTTTACAAGGGAAAGTTACATTTATTTGTTGCATTTTCAAGATAATCTACAAGACGATAATGGCCAAGACCGGTAGCTAAGTGATTGAAAAACACTCAGATTAAAGTTTGCAAAATATTGAAAACTAACAAACAGCAGCACTTGAAAGTAATGCCTAATAAATGGCTTTCCTTTTCACACACTAAGGTTTGATCCACAATCAGAATTAATATTTGCAAGCAGCTTATACAGCATAAAAAAAGTTGAAAGTACTGTTT